TTTGTTTTTCACAGTTTAAACGGTTCTTTATGCATGAAAATATTGATCTGCCTTCAGTAAGGAGATCATTATATTTGTGTCCATGGCATTAAAGCACTTGCTCTAGATACTGCTGAAAAAGCAGAAACCCGAACAGAAGCAGAACTAGATCTGCTCACGAGGAATCAGTGCCTCAACTAACCAGATCTCTGACATTAACTCGTGTCAACACCAGTCAGTCTATCCGGAGACTTGCACAAAGAGCTCACAATCAGGAGTTACACAAGCATCGAGAGGAGAAAGTCAGGTGTGATGAAGACTGACGAGTCTGACAGCAGCGATGAAGAGCTCTGATGGTGAAATCAGGCTAATTAAAGCTGCTGTCATTATCAGAAGCTCTGGATCACGGAGGCTTTGACGAGCCTGTCAGCAGTTAAGCACAGAAACATCTCTGAGTCACAAACCGGAGTAAACACAGACAGCTCAGAACACAACACTCGCATCAACATTTACTGTATGCATGCAATGCTTCTCATGCATTTACAACAAAACCCACCCACAATGCAGTGCGCTTGACCTGACCTTTCATTTCTAGTGTGAAGACTGATTTTATTTGGCAAATGTTTTGAGTGGACTGTCAAAGGTTAAGATATTTTTAGACAGAATTGGAGCAAAAATATATAATTTATTTACTTACTATGCATTTATTTATCTGTCTATCTATCCATCTATACGTCACATGCTGCATTAAACATGCAACATCAAGAGGTCATGTGACAACAATACAACTACTAATTGAAAAAATGCAAACTTGATTTTAAGTGAAATATCAGACTGCAAAAAAAAAGCTATAATAATGAAAACAAAAAAGAAACAAAGAAATTTGATTAAAATAAAAAATATTATTAAAATAAATAAATATAAATTATTTTAATATTATATATATTAAAATAAAATTACAATTGATGTAAATAAATACATACAACTTTTGATTAAAATAACAATATTAAAGTGAATAAATAATATTAAAATTAATACTGCTTTAAATAAATAATTACATTTATTTATTAGCATAGACTCGCTGAGATGTATCATCTCATTTTTAAGGTGGTCCCAATAAATAAAATAAATAATAAGTATTAAAATAAATAAAGTTGATTTAAATAAATCAAATAATACATTTGATGAAGATGAAAATGATTGACAAATAAGAGCTAATATAAATAAATATATGACTAATATAACACAATAAAATTTAATTTAAATCAATCAATAAATAAATGATTAAAATAAACAAATACAAGCCCTGATCTAGCGTGAACTCTTCTTCTACAGTCAGTTTTCTCTCTCAGATCAACTTCTGTCACGAAGAACAGAATCTGAGAAGGATCTTGCTGCTCAGGTTAGTTAAAGGTTACGATGATATAATGCTGCATGTTAAGTATTTTAAACAGAATGCATGCCTGTAATGCACTGGTGTGTGTGTGTGTGTGTGTGTGTGTGTGTGTGCGAGTGTGAGTGTGAGTGAGATAGTGTGTGTGTGTGTGTGAGAGAGAGTGTGTGAGAGAGAGAGAGAGAGAGAGAGAGAGAGAGAGCGTGTGTGTGAGAGAGAGAGAGAGAGAGAGAGAGAGAGAGAGCGTGTGTGTGAGAGAGAGAGAGAGAGAGAGAGAGAGAGAGAGACAGAGAGAGAGTGAGTGTGTGAGAGAGAGAGAGAGAGAGAGAGAGAGTGAGTGAGTTTGTGAGAGAGAGAGAGTGAGTGAGTGAGTGAGTTTGTGAGAGAGAGAGAGAGAGAGAGAGAGAGAGAGAGAGAGAGAGAGAGTGAGTGTCTGTATGTATGTGTGTGTGTGTGAGAGAGAGTGTGTGTGTGTGTGTGTGTGTGTGTGTACCTACTTAACCATATTTTGGGGACAAATTTGTACCCAAAGTGAGCTAAACCTGACAAAATCTCCAAAAACCTCCCTTTGGGGACGTCCTCATTTGCAAAACTGGTATAAAAATAAAGTAAACAAACCTTTTTTTTAATTGTAAAAATGCAGAAAGTTTCCTGTAAGGGGTAGGTTTAGGTGTAGGGTGACAGAAAATACAGTTTGTACAGTGTGTGTGTGTGTGTGCGCGCGAGCGAGAGAGAGCGAGAGCGAGAGCAAGAGAGAGAGAGAGAGAGAGAGAGAGTGTGTGTGTGTTCTCTGCTGCACCTGGCTATTGAGATGAAAGCAACAGTGTCAGAATAAAGGCCTGTGGCTGGAATGATCAGATTTATAATTCACACTGACTGTGATCTACAGCCAACACAGCTGCACCCGACAAACCACACACACACACACACACACACACACACACACACTGATCTGCGGCGGATGAAGGGAAGGTTTCTCCCTGTCAAACTGTTGCTCCACCATGACATTATTTCAGATGAAAGAGAAAACTGACCGTAGAAGACGACAATTTTCACTAGCGGTTATAGCGTCTCTTGTGGTGACATTATAATGCACGTACTGATACAGTATATTTCAATGCAAACCTGTGAATCATGCATATCTACAACAGCAAGTTCACATACGAGCATACGTAGTATGTTTCAATCTTATTTGCATCATCTGCAGATCTGAGGACAATTCTGATGTAATGCTTTGATTTTTATGCAAGCAATATATTAACTGCAAATATTTTATTATATTATAGCAGATTTTAGCTTATGGGCACAAGTGATTCGATTGGATTGCATGGTGAAGAGCTGAAATACTCTGAATGACAGGACTAAATTAAGCATAATATAATAAATTATCACAATAATAATCATAAGAATCAATAATTATAAAATAAATAATGTATTAATTTGAATAAGAATACAATAAATAACGTAACCAATGCAAAACGATGCAAATTAAAAAAAAAATTATAAATACATAGATAATAAAATAAGATTAAACTAAATTAATTAATTTGATTAAAATAAACCATTGATAAAATACAATTTCTTAAATTAATTAAAATAAATAAAAACAAACAAATTTTGTTTTAAAAGTGGCAACAATACTAAACATATGCGGAAGTTTGTTTGAAGTAATTATTAATATAATAATATATATATATATATATATATATATATATATATAATATTAACATAATAATATAACAATTCAAAACAATGCAAATTAAGTGCACAAGTTCTCAGTGCGCAAGGTCTGGAAAAAAGCTAATAATAAATAAATATAAAGAAAATAAAAATACATTTGCAACTATATTGATTAAAATAAATAGTACAGTATTTGCTATTAAGGCAGTGACCTGGAAGTTTTGTTCAGAATGCATATAATGCACATGGAAACAAATACAGTATGTGAGTCTGTTTGCAGCGTTAGTGTTCATCTAAACCGAGCTTTCAGAATCTGACATCAGACTGGACTCATTTCACTGATGACAATGAGTGCATGTAAACATGCCTACAGTCTGTCAATCACTCATTGCATACTACAACAGCACGCTGAGATGTGTGTGAAGAGCGTGAGATCAGCGAGTGCACACGGCGGCTCGCGGCTGTCTGACAGGTGAGAGCAGCAGATGGTGCGCCCGGCGTGTTTGGGTCAGAGAGAGAGACTGAGAGCCGTGAACACAGAGGCCATCTGTCTACGACCAGCACCGCTCATGAGTTATGACCGGAGGAGATATTAATAGATAAACTCACCATATGTCACATCGCCACACTTTCTGTCAGCGCTGAACGCAAACCTGTTACTATTCTTACCACTTTAACACGGCAGACTGTACAGTACTACAGCACAGAAGTCTCCTCTGCTCACCTAGGCTACACTTATTTCATCTGAAATACAGTTAAAATTGTGAAATATTTTTAGAATTTCAAACAGCTGTTTTCTGTGTGAATATGTGTTAAACTGTAATGTATTTCTGTGATGCGCAGCTGTATTTTCAGCATCATTCCTCCAGTCTTCAGTGTCACATGATCTTCAGAAATCAGTATAATATGCTGATCTGCTGCTCGAGAAACATTTCTGATTATTATCAATGCTGAAAACAGTCGTGCTGCACAATATTTTTGTGGAAACTGTGATATGTTTGATCTTCCAGGATTCACAGATGAATAGAAAGTTCAAAAGAACAGCATTTATTTGAAATTGAAATTTTTGTAACATTAGAAATGTCTTTACTGACACTTTTGATCAATTTAATGTGTCCCTGATGAATAAAAGTATTAATTCCTTTAAAATACAATATATCTTATTGTACTTACCTTTATCTTTAGACAAATTTACTAATATATATATATATATAATATACACACACTATACTAAACTAAATATTGTGTGAGTGTGTATATATATATATATATATATATATATATATATATATACACACACACACACACACACACTTAAATATTTTAAAATATATTTGTTTACTCCATATATGTTGTATGCATTTATATTTTTTTAAATATTTTTTTAATATATCTGTTTACTCCATATTGTTTTAAACAAAAACATTTTAACATTTTTGTAAGATTGAGAAAGAAAAAAATTTATTCAAGATATATTGTCTGAAAACAATCTATTTTGTCAACGCAACGAATGCAATTTTGCATTAGTTGCTTTTAAATTAAATGCTTTTGTGTGTGTTTTAAGGACTTTTAGATATTTTCACTGAAAATCAACAAACAAGAATACATAAAACACTGCAGTGTGGCTATTATTAAAAAACAATATGTGAAACTTTAGAGAAACATTTCAAACAGTAAAATGCAACATTGTATGTCACATAATCACATGTATGTTATGAGTGCATGATTGCATTATGCGATACACTATTATTGCACATTAACACAGAAAATCACTGCACACTGGGTTTTGCGTCATACTATAATTTGCTGAGCACACATACTGCATGCTGCTTTCTTTCAAAATGAATAATTAGTATGGACTTATATGCTTTCCAAGCCACGCTTTTTATGAACACACACACACTTTTTAAGCCAAACAGGCTGTGAACTGGTTTCTCTGGAATCTTACCTTGTGTCTGCACTTCAGGACGACCCCGTACGCTCCTGCCAGAGAAACAGAGAGAGACAAACAGCTTTTACTCAAACCTTCACCCAGTTCCACCTGTCTTTACCGCGTCTTTGTGAGATGCCAAAGCCTCCGTCCAAAAGCCCCGAGCGTTTTGTGTCTGATGAATGAAGCGATTGAAGGGAGGAGGCACTGATCTAGCCGTGACAGAGACAGAGAAGCGTTCAGGGAACTGGAAGAAGCTCCTGTTTTCTCTGAAGACCTGAGGCCCGATCGCTGCCAGAGCGTTTCTTTGTTTAATCAGCCCAATTCATTAGGAATCAAGTCAATTTTAAGGGTAAATTTTTCGAAACTGAGATGTATACATCATCTGAAAGCTGAATAAATAAGCTTCTGAGTAGATTCTGAGGAATCTGAGTGTGCAAAAAAATCTAAATATTGAGAAAATCATCTTTAAAGTTGTCCAAATGAAGTTCTTAGCAATGCATATTACTAATCAAACATTAAGTTTTGATATATTTACAACAGGACATTTACAAAATATCTTCATGGAACATGATCTTTACTTAATATCCTAATGATTTTTGGCATAAAAGAAAAATGTATAATTTTGACCCATACAATGTATTGTTGGCTATTGCTACAAATATACCCCAGCGACTCAACACTGCTTTTGTGCTCCAGGGCCACATATGAGCCCAAACCCTCTGCAGACTGGAGCTCAGGTGTCTGTGAACGAACGCAGTGTTTTTGACGGAAGAGTCTGTGCGGTTTCATATCTGTGGCACTAAACGACTGTCCCGCAGGAGACGCAGAGCTGAGCTCATCCCGAGATCCCAGCCAACAGATCCGAGAAGAGTCACGTTTAGCACAACCTGCTCAATGTGAGCGATACAGAGAGACTTACAGCGTGCATTAGGCTGCTTGATGATGGAAAGAGAGTAATTTCCTTAAAAAAAATGAACAAACAAAAACAATAAAATAAAATGTGTATATATACATAAAAACAATAAATAAAAATAAATTATTATATGTACACATTGTGTACATATATAATTTATAATTTTATTCAACAATTATTCAATAATATAGTTACACATTATATCTTAACATTGTTTATATATTATACATTATATATATATATATATATATAAAATAAAAATAATAAAATATGAAATAATACAAACATTTATGATATATACACACACTAAATATAACTAAATACTAAATTAAAATTAAAATAACTCACGATTACAAATCATTTTCGTAAAATAAAGCTGACAAAATAAATATAAAAAATAAATATTGTATAAAAAAAGTTAACAAAAATTAGAAATGTTGCCTTGACAACTAACTGAAATAAAATACTAAACAAAAAGTACTACAATGATTAAAACTGAAACAAAAAGCACAGGTTTTTTTTCCATAAAAATGGAAAAAAGCACAAAATTACTCAACTAATTAAAAATGAAAATATAAAAATAGCTAATAAATATTAATAAACACTATACTAGTATATAAATAATAACTCTGGATGACACTGGGGTTTTATTATTAATCGAAATATTAAAGAAGAAAGAGTCAGAAAGGAGGTAATACAGATAAACAGTCATGAAAGTCTGAAATAAACATGCAAACAGATTCACATTTAACTTGAACAGATTCTGCTTTGAATGCAGACGGACAACCGACAGATTTCAAAGCAGCACAGAAGAACATTTTGATTGAGAAGATAAATCTAACTGAAAAACTCAAAGGTGTATTCATATGATTAACGATGATGAACTCACTGATTCATATTCTGAGATAATAAGACGTTAAGATTTGATCACTTCACTGTCATGAATAATGAAAAGAGAAAGACGTTGAAGATGGATCAGGATGATTTCACTCCAGCCTCTGCTGCAGGTGACCGTGAGAGAGAGAAATCAGACATTAAATCACTTTAATATCTCAATTAGACAACAATGAGATTAAATGGAGAGCATATGGAGATTTCTGAAATATTCTGTTATTATTGTTAACTACAAATAAAACTACAACTATTAAAATCATTTTTGTTCATTGAAATACTGCAGCTGAAATCAAATCTAATTAAAATTTTAGATGAAAAATTTAAACTAAATGAAAAATGTAAATGCTACCTTGACAACTAACTTAAATAGGATTAAGCTAAAGCACTAACTGGAAATTTAAATTGAATTTAATTTGAATTTAATTTAATTTATATATTACGTATATATATAAATACACTCACATACAGTATATATCTTGAAAAATGTACATGTATATATTTATATTCATGTAATTTATATTATATATAAATATATTTAAAATATGAACAACATTTTTCTTAAATATATACATGCATGTGTGTGTGTATTTATATATACATAATAAATATACACAGTAAACATTATGTAAACAAAAACTTTTATTTTGGATGTGATTAATCGCTATTAATCGTTTGACAGCACTAAAATATAATTATATATACATTTTAATGTTATTTATTTGAATTTATTTTCTGTTATAGTTTTACCCATTTTAGTACTACAACTCATTTTACTTCATTTCATTCAGTTGCCAGGGAAACATTTCTAAGTTCAAAATAAAATGTATTGTATAATGTTAATTATTATTATAGCTTTATATTAATGAACAGTTTCAGAAGAGATCTCAGCAACAGAAGTCAGAGATCTCAGGATGATTTGATAGTTAACTCTACTGCATACCACTATTTTTATTTCTCCTAATCAAACAAAGCTGATAATTAACCAAACCATAACGGAGCTGCTGAGCTAGAAAAGAGCAATAAACTGTCCCTCTGGGATCATGTGAAGCGTTTGTTTCTCTGAGTCACATTATTTATCCTCCACTTCACAAATGCGATGACATCAGCTGCACTGATGCAAAAGGAGAGGAACCAAACATGATCGCCAGCATCTCCTGAACTCAATGTGTGATAAAGACGTGATGCTAGTAAACTACGCTGAAACCCCGCCCACTCCTCTGCCTCAGCCAATCAGGAGAAGAGCCACACGTATGGCATTATTTTAATGACAAATGTCGAGAGTGCATTATTGTAGTGCGAAAGCACATTAATATAATGCTCGAGCGTGGATTTCTTTTGCTCTCGCACAAAAACGGACGCTCTCATCTCACTCAAACTGTGTCCTGTGCACTCTCCGTTGTGGAGGTCTGATTGGTTTAAGCTTTATTTCTATAGCCCCTTTTAAAACGGTGTATACAAAGTAGCCTATTTTACAAAGAGATGCATGTGTGCATTCGCAGAAAAGATCAATATACAAACATAAAAGTGATATGGTAAAACAAAGTAGCTACAATAACCAGTTTATGTTAAAACAAAAATACAACAATAAAAAATCAAGGAAAGGCCCTGCACAAATCTGTTTTGAGACTACTTTTTAAAAGTGCATAGTGATAACTTTTGACAACGTTTAATTGAGGTGCGAAAATAATTCATATCTATAGTGCATGAGCACAGAGATTTGTGCACAGGACAGTTTGAGTGAGAGGAGAGACACGTTTTAAGTGCGCGCACTCTCTCCGGGCAGCGTGTATCTGAGCGCGTGCGTCCGGTTTTGTGCGAGAGCAAAAGAAATCCACGCACGAGCGGAGAGATTCACACTCGTGCATTATATTAATGTGCTTTCGCACTACAGTAATGCGCTCTCGACATTTGTCATTAAAATAACGCCATGCACACGCACCTCGACCACTCCGCTGAGGAGAAATGGCAAGTCCTGCGAGCGAGTGACAAGGCAGTGAATCTCTAGACTCATGTGTAGCATACTAATCTTCAAGACGTATCTAGCTTAACCTGCTTTTTCCAGAGCTGGAATAGAAAAAAAGAAGAAAAACGAGGCCATCGAAGTGGAACTATGTGACCTGTTTTTACAGGCGCAACAGTCACAGACACTTTCTATCAGCGTTTGTTTTCGATTTTTCCTGAATAAGGAAAACATTCAAGGACTCAATGTGACGATCTTGAATTATGCACAATCTCTCATTTTTTTTGGACCGGTTTTACTGATAGGATCACTGCTAGGCCAAAAACAGGGCAATGGATTTCTTGAATTCTTCCTGTGATGTTCGTGCAAGTTTGGAAGTCATAATCATAATCATATTCTGGACAATTAAATGGAATAAAATTCAATTCATATTTGTTTCTCTATTTTTAGCTTATTGATGAAAACAGGAATTTTAGGACTAATACAACAAAATGAAGTGCCGACTGGAGTGTAAATGATGCTCTAATCTGTCTATATTATCAATATCATGCCACCGCCGCACAGAATGATGGGAAATGTAGTTCGCCTTCATAAACGGTTAAATGAGCAGTCTTTTCTGGTAAGTTTTACCACTATTCATCAACAGTATGCAAAATGTGTAAAAGTTGCACAATTATTTCAGAAAAAAGTATGAGAAAAAAAACCTACAGAAATAGATTTAAATATGGGAAAATATGTTTAACAGAGCTGAAATTTCTATGCTGTTTTTGTTGCTGAAAGTGCATTCAAATTAGCACAAATACTTGAGATGTTAATCTAAAAATGTCTATCAAACTTGCATGACTTCTTCTGTGAAGCACAAAGCAGGGATTTTAAAGAATGTATTGTCATACAATGAAAGTGAAATGTTGTTGTTCAAAATATATTATTTTGTTTCACAGAAGCAGTGTTGTTTTCATTAACTAAAACTAAAACTAAAACATGCATATAAATTAAAAACATTTGTTATATAAAACTGAGCTGAAATTAAAGTAAAATATACATTTAGGATGCAAAAACTTAAACTAAATAGAAAATAAAATTAGAATTGTTTTTTTGACAACTAACTGAAATGAACTACTAAAATAACTATCTGAAATAAAATTAAAACTAAATCTGATATAAAACTATAACTAAAATTTAAAGAATTATAGAAATGTTTTTTAAAACAAAAACTAATGCAAAATGACAAATGCACATTTGTTTATGGTTGCATTTTGAAAGAAAACTGAAAATATAAAAAT